CATTGAGATACCACCTCACCCCAGTTAGAATGGCTATAATCAAGAACTCTAACAACAGAGGCTAGAGGGGATGTGGACAGAAGGGAACCTTACTGCATTGTTGGTAGGAGTGTAAACTTGTTCAACCACTTTGGAAAATAGTATGGAGGTTCCTCAAAAGACTCCACATAGAGCTCCCTTATGACCCAGCAATCCCACTTTTGGGCATTTACCCAAATGATCACAAACAAGGCCATTCTAAAGCTATCAGCACAACTATGTTTATTACAGCATTATTTACCATAGCTAAGATGTGGAACCAACCCAGATGCCCCTCAGTAGATGAATGGATCAAGAAAATGTGGTATATATACACAATGGAATTCTATGCCTCCATCAGAAAGAATGACATTGCCTCATTTGTTAGGAAATGGAAAGACTTGGAAAATATTATATTAAGTGAAGTAAGCCAGGCCCAAAGAAACACAGGCCCCATGATTTCCCTTATTTGCAATAACTAGTATATGTCTGAGTCAAGCAGAAATGGTCAGATAAGTTGATGCTAGGGAAATGAACTGCAAGATAAATATTCAATTTTTTTCTTTCATGTGATTGTTTCTAACATATTTATAAGATGATATCTTTGTTGCTTTGTATGTCCCTCCCTCACTGTATAACCCCTGCTTTCATTGTCTTTGATGTTGATATAGTTTGTGGAGGAGAAGGGAAAAAAACAAATTGTTTAAATAGGGATACAGGTGGACCCATTGCAACAATAAGATGTACAAGTTGTTATGTCGAAAACGAACTTTACAACTTTGGTGGGGGATTGGGGGAGCTGGGAAGAGATAGGAAGGGGAAACAAAGGAGGAGGCAATAATGCTTGATAAGAAATGTACATTATCTTGCCCATGTAATTGTAACCCCTCTCTATGGTATTTTCACAATAATAAATAAATAAATTTTTTAAAAGAAAAAAAAATAAAAAAGTATCCAATGAAAATATTTGCAAAACTTCTATTGAAACACTCAATGATTTTGAAGGAATGGATAAAATGAATAAGTGTCTGTGCATATGGGCTACCTAGGATGAACCTAAATAGATATATCACACACAATAAGTTTAAGCAACAATAAAGAAACTTCAACATTTACATGCCCTGAGACTAGATAGATTCATGGCTGAATTCTACCAGACTATTTATTAGTAGTTCAGAAGTATAAAGGGAGGAAATGCTACTAAAATATTTCCCTGATTGCAAAATCAGTTGAAGATATGTTTTTTAAAAGAAAGAAAAAGCACTGGAAATGTGGCCTAGTGGTAGATTGCTTACTTTGCATACATGAAGCCTGGGATTCTCTTCCTCAGTACCATATACACAGAAAATGCTGGAAGTAGTGCTGTAGCTCAACTGGTAGAGCACTGGCCTTGAGCTGAAGAGCTCAGGTACAGTGCCCAGGCCCTGTGTTCAAACCCTACAACTGACAAAAAAATATATAAAAAAGAAAAAGCAAACTACAGATCAGCTTCTTTGATGAACATATATAGAAGCATTTTCCAGAAAATACTGGGGAAGATTGTACACCATGACAAATTTCATTTCATTGGAAGAATGCCAGGATGGTTCACCATATATTGATAAATACACTGGTGCATGTAAAGATAAGACAGGAAAAACATGACAGGATCATTTCAATAGATGCCAAAAAACCTTTTGACACCATGAATATCTCTTCATGATAAACACCCAAAAAGATGAGGAATAAAAATTACTTCAATACCATAAAGAGTGTATAAATTTAATGCAGTTGTACTAATGGGGAATATTGGTTGTCACACACAAGGGAGTTGTGGGGTAGAGAGAAGGATTTGTTTATAACCATTAAAATGTATATATATGTGTGTGTGTGTGTGTGTGTGTGTGTGTGTGTGTGTGTGTGTGTGTGCGCGTGTGTGTGTGTGTTTATATATATATATATATATATATATATATATCTGAGCAAGCAGACTAAAGGATGGTATAAGCTTTTGCAGGTGTGAGATTCCATGAGTAATTCTTTTTAATTTGGTGCCAGTCCTGGGACTTGAACTCAGGGGATGGACTCTGTCCCTGAGCCTTTGTGCTCAAGGCTAATGCTCTAACACTTGAGTCATGGTTCCACTTCTGGCATTTTGCATAGTTAGAGGTAAGACTTTCCTACTTGTGCTTGCTTTGAACCATGATGTTCAGCTATCAGACCCCTGAGTAGCTAGGCTTATAGGCATGAGCCACCAGCACCTGGCTCCATGGAGTCATTTAATCTAGCATAAATGTTCCATTCACTTAAATCCAAATGGGCACACAGAGGTTTATCAAGGACACACCAAAAGGGTGGACCTGAAAATAATGCCTTCTTTAAGGTTATTAGAAGCTTTCAAGGTACATTGTGCATATATGTTTGCACATTTTAAAATGAAATCTCCTTATATGACTAATCTATGTTAATAACATTGCAAAAAAAAGTAAGCATTTCAAAAAAAATCTTAAAATTTCTTGAGAGTACCCCCTGTGGAGTGTTTATAGGTTGTAGTTGGTTAGATAGTTAAATCATGGAAAGAGAAACCACAAATAAAAGGTTCTACCACATTTATTTCCACAAGAATATTTTTGAATACTGTGAAATGGATAAAAAAATGTGATTGAATGTAAATAACCATTTCCTATTGTGTATCATCAATATATTCAATAAGTAAATTCAGAGGCAACTTCTTCAACAAACCTCATTAATTATGTAATATCATTATGGATATTTCAAAATACAGAGCATTGAAAATGCACTCCAGACATACCATGACATTTGTGAAGTCTCTGGTGCATCATTTGAGAAAAATGAGGCACATGATTCATGTTACCTCAACTTTTCATTAATTAAAATATGTGTAAATGTGCCTATCATGTCATAGGTTTAAAAAAATTGCACGGAGCCAGGCATTGGTGGCTCACATCAGTAATCCTAGCTACTCAGGAGGCTGAGATCTGAGGATCACAGATCAAAGCCAGCCTGGGCAGGAAAGTCCGTGAGACTCATCTCCAGTTAACCACCACAAAATAGGAGGTGGCTTTGTGGCTCAAAGTAGTAAAGCACTAACCTTGAGCACAAAAACTCAGGGATAGCTTCCAGATCTAGAGTTTGAGCCTCATGATTAATAAGAAAATTCCAATGAAATGCTAACATTTCTAGACTGTTTGTCCTAGGAAAGAATATGATTACTATACTAATTCAAAACAGAAGATATTTCTAGAACAGTGGTGGGTAGATAAGGAAGTGTCTTGACTTGGGGAATAGACTAAAGTATCAGAAGTTCTGCCTAGTAAGTGCAAAGCCATGAGTTCAAAACCAGTAAGGAGGAGGTGAAGGGAAAAGAGGTATTGATAGCTACACAAGGCTTTCTGAGTTGATGGTAAGGTTATAGTTTTCAAATACGGAAAGAATTATTTAGACCCATTTCATACAAGGCTAGTTGGATATTATCACTGAGCCGTGCCCTAGCTCTCAGGGCTAGTTCACCAAAATTCATAGCTGCCTATTCTAGGGTGAATTGCTTCAGATGGATGCACAAAAACCTGAAATGCTATTACATTGCTGTAGCTCTGGAGAGAAAGTCCAGCATATCATGAGGAAGAATTTCTTTGAGAAGCTTCATAAATGGCACCAACCATCAGCCATGGCTATTCCTTTAGCAGTGGTAAGAGCATTACTTACCTCTTTCATTTTTCCTAGCCTAATGGCATCACTAAACATCCCTTAGGGGAGTTTCTGTCACCAAGCATTACCCCTCCCCTGCACACACACAAAATTTATGGTCAGATTCTGCTTCTAAGAAAGCTGACCAAGAAAATTCACTCAGAAACCTCACCTGTGGTATTCATACTGAAGTGGAAACCTCCAGAGCCATTATGATATCTGTTCATTGAGAACTAAGGGTTTGGCATCCATAAGGAAATGCAAAGACTTGTGAAAAAAAGTTATACTGAGCTAAGTAAGCCAGACCCAAAGACACATAAGCTGCATAGCTCCCCTAATTTGGTTGTTTTTTTTTAATTATTTCCCCGCCCACCCCTCCCAATCTGTCCCCTAATTTGTAATAATTAGAATGTGCCTATAAATCTACACGTAAACCCAATGGATAGTAAAAGGCAAAAAATTAACACCTGGACATGATTAATTAAATAGCACTGTTAAGTATTTGCACAGTGAGAACAAAGGAGGATATTCTTAGGAGAGGATCACAAGTGCTGAATAGTTATGTGCATATGATCATATAAAATGATGCTTATTGAAATGAACTACAAGAAAGGGAAACAAGAGGTTTGTTTTTGTTTTTGTTTGTCAGTCTGGGGCTTGAATTCTGGGCCTGGGTGCTGCTCCTGAGCTCTTCAACTTAAGGCTCTACCATTTGAGCCACAGTGCCACTTCTGGTTTTCTGGTGGTTAATTGGAGATAAGAGTCTCATGGACTTTCTTGCTTGGTCTTGCTTTGATCCATGATCCTCAGATCTCAGCCTTCTGAGTAACTAGGATTATAGGTGTGAGCCACCAGCACCTGGCAAACAAGAGGTGTTTTTTTTTTAAATTTCACTGTTTCCAGTTCTTTTTTTACTTCTTTCCTTTTTTCTTTGGTTTATTCCCTTCTGTCACTGTTTTTGATTTCTGTACCCAGTGTCTTATATAAAAGTTCATCTGATTGGAGGAGGGGAAGAGGAAGCACAGAAATGATGGAGTGAAATCCACTAGACACTAAGTTGGAAATGAACTATACAACTTGCTGGGGAGGGAGGTTAGGAAGGGAAAAACTGGGAGAAAATGAGGGAGGAAAGAAATGTACTCATTACCTGACTATGTATGTGTATATCACCTTTATAATAACATTTTAAAATCTAAAAAATAAAAAAGAGGTTAGAGTGTGGGGAAAATCCACTATTTGGCTCACCCAAGACCTTTCTCATTTGAGGCAGTCTAGAAATCCAGGGCCAAAGCCTGTCATGTGAATGTTCTGATAAACTTCTTCAAGGCTTCCTTAATATCTCTGTTTCTCAGGCTGTAGATAAATGGGTTCATCATGGGAGGGACCACCGTGTACATCAGTGAAGCCACTGCAATCATCCTGGATGAGTCCATAATTGCAGAACTAATGTTCACCCCAAAAGCCGTTCCATAGAACAAGGAGACTACAGAGAGGTGAGACCCACAGGTGGAGAAAGCTTTTGATGTGGCCCCAGCTGAAGATGGCATTCGCAGAAGACAGGAGACAATTTTAATATAAGAGAAAAGAATTCCAATGAGAGGCACCCCACCCAATAGAGTGGTCACTGTGTATACCAGGATGTTATTGACCAGGGTGTCAGAGCAGGAGAGCTTGAGAACCTGGTCAAGTTCACAGAAGAAGTGGGGGATGGTGAGATCTGTGCAGAAGGACAGACGTAAGATCATCAGACTGTGAAGGAGGGCATCCCCAACACTAATGGACAAGGAGACTAGGATTAATGCCACACACAGGCAAGGGTTCATGATGACCGTGTAGCTCAGAGGATGGCAGATGGCCACATAACGATCATAGGCCATTGCTGCAAGCAGGAAGTTTTCCAACCCAGCAAACATTAACACGAAGCAGGCCTGAGTGAGGCATCCTGCATAACTGATGGCCTTGTTCTGTCTCTTGAGGTTCACCAGCATCTTGGGGATGGTACTGGTGCTGAAACAGATGTCAGTGAAGGAGAGATTGGAGAGGAAGAAGTACATAGGGGTGTGGAGGTGGGGATTAGAGCTGACAGCCAGGATGATGAGCAGATTTCCGAGCACTGTGACCAGATACAGGAACAGGAACAGCCCAAAGAGGATGGGCTGCAGGTCTGGGTCATCAGACAGTCCCAGGAGGAGAAATTCTGTGATAGCAGTTTGATTATGTGAGTCCATGTTCTTTAGGAAACTTAGAGGGAGGGGGAAAAAAAGAGGTGACAAATCAGAAAAAAATAAACAGATGAACCAGGATCCATTTTAATTTAAAACTTTAATATAATTATGTTTGCTTATTTGGTTATAGTAGTTTTTAACTATGTAAAATTATTTGTATTTGCATTTCTACCCCCAATAAATTTGGAAAACACTCTCAAACAATTCTGTGGCATTTAGTCCATGTATTGTGGTGTATAACCATCACCCCAAAAGAAAATGCTATGTTATACTATAAAATTCTTCTTTTATATACCACTAGTCTCTGGAAACCAACTACTGACCAGTAGAGTGATAAAGTATGCAATTTTCTTTTTCTTTAAATTGTTATTGTACAGTTGATATACAAAAGGGTTACAGTTACATGAATCAGGTAATGAGTAATGAGTACAATTCTTTTTGAATCATGTCTCCCCTCCCCTCCCTCTCTCTTGGTTTTTCCCATCCATCCCCACCCCCAAGATATCCAGTTCATTTTCTACATAGTGTCTAGTGAGTATCACTGTTGTATTTGTTCATCCTTATTCCACCTTTTATATGCCCTCCCTTCCCATCTCAAATACAAACTAACAAACAAGACAAAAGGAAAAGAAAACAAAAACAGCAATATCATTTGTCATGTCTCAGTGAGCATGCATATACCATTACTTTATAAAAGTCCTTACCCAATAGGCATTCTGCACTTCTAGTATGATACAATCTTTTCTGTGAAAAACTCCAGAATTTCTGGTATGGTTTATTATAGAAGAGATATGATAAGTGGGACTAAATTTAGGAAAATTAAAGGCAGAACATCTCTGGTAAGATTGGGTGGGGGGGGAGGGAGGATGGGAAGGGATGGGAAGGGTAAACAAAGGAAGAGGCTACAATGCTTGATAAGAAATGTACTCACTATCTTGCCCATGTAATTGTAACCCCTCTGTACAGTATATTCACAATAAAAAAAGATAACTGTAAATTTCAGGGAACTTTTCATCAATCATCTTCTAGGTAGACAGCTCAAGTTATCCGCTCCTAATTGTCATGTCTTCAACACACAGCTGTGTAGGGTGAACTGATAGACAAGGACATGTCACTCTTGTCAAAACAGACTAGTAGGAGATCTCAGATTACCTGGGGGTCCACAGTAATAACTGGCATTCATTTCCCTGGACAAGATGGAGAAGATGGTTTGGGGGAACAAAAGGAGTGAGAAGCATATGGCTGCCAGTGTAGAATGGGGGCTTGCTCTCCAATACTCAGGCTTCGGGGCTCTGCCTGTGGCTCTGATTAAAGCTATTGAATGGAGACACGTTTGGGGAGAGTGTTTGTAGGCTCTGTGGCCCTTGGGGTTTTCATATCCACAGTTCCTCATTAAGGGAACTTTCTGGGTCTCCTATGACTGTGGGGCAGCATGGATCCTTAAAGAGCCAGGCTGGAAGAGGAAGTATTTGGATTTTTTAAAATTATTTTTATTAGAAAATTATACAGAGGTGTTGGCAATTAAGAAAGCAGTTTATGAATACAATATATCTTAGCCAGGCACCGGTGGCTCATGCCTGTCATCCTAGCTACTCAGGAAGCTGAGATCTGAGGATGGCGGTTCAAAGCCAGCCTGAGCAAGAAAGTCCATGAGACTCTTATCTCCAATAAAAACCACTAGAAAACTGGAAGTGGCACTGTGGCTCAAATGGTAGAGTGCTCACCTTGAGCTGAAGAGCACAGGGACAGCACCGAAGCCCAAAGTTCAAGCCCCATGACCTACCAAGAAAAAAAAAAAACAACTCTATTTTGGCATGGATAATTTTTCACCTATATGCACCAACACATATATAAGTACACATACACACATGACAATTCATAGATAAAAATTAGGAATCTGGGTTATCCATGTTGCAGAAAAATCACAAATCTTTAGAAAAGTCATGAATCTGTGGTACAAGGTAGCATTGTGATTAGAGCTGTCCACTTGTAGGCATCTAATATACACTATAAAGTCCAAAAAAAGTTTTAAATACTTAAATCACCAATATATGTGTATGTGTATGTACATGCATGTGTGTGTGTGAATGTGAGTGATCTGGATTTTACTATTTAGCCCTGGCTGGCCTTAATATATATACATATATGTGTATAAATGAATATAAGTATATGTAAATAAAGAATTCATATATTCCAAAGACCACTACTCTGTTTACAGAAAAGCCTGTTTGGGGCTGGGGCAAGGGTAAAGTGTTAAATTTCTTATCTAACATACAGAAAGCCTTAGGACCCATTCTCTAGCATCCCAAATACACACAGCACTATTAAGGATTAGTTTTTTTTATTTTTTGAAAATTTTTGTAATTTTTTCTTTTTTTAATTTTTTTATTTTAAAGATACTGTACAGAGTTTCTGTACATTCCATTACAGATAATGAGTACATTTCCTATGGAGCATTGTTACCCCCTCCTTTTTTCCCCTACCATCCCTTCCCTCCCCACCTCACCAACTTTTCCCTCCCTTCCCCCAAAGTTGTAAAGTTCATTTTCAACATAGTGTCTTGTACATCTCATTGTTACAATGGGTCAACCTGTATCCTTATTTCAATATTTTGTTATTTCCCTTCCCCTCCCCAAATTATAAAAATATATATACAAGATGTAGAGCACTGGAATCAAATACAGTGAAAACATGGGGAAAGAACATAGAAAGGAAAAAATCACATAGTACATTATAAGGACATTAAAAAATAGAAGCAACAAAGAGAAAATCTCTTGTGTTCCTATCGTGGGGTTCATTTCACTTAGGACCATCTTATATGGTCATATATGTGTAACTTTTGACCTTTTCTACTTGTCTGGTTAAGATTACCCTAGATATGCTAGCTATTGCAAATAAGGGACCTAGGTTTCTTTGGACCTGGTTTACTTCAGTTATTACAATTTTTTCAAATCTTTCCATTTCCTAACAAATTCTGATGGAGGCATAGAACTCTAGTGTGTGTGTGTGTGTGTGTGTGTGTGTGTGTGTGTGTGTGTGTATCTCACATTTTCTTGATCTGTTCATCTACTGAGGGGCATCTGGTTGGTTCCATATCCTAGCTATGAAGAATAATGCTGAGACAAACATAGTTGTGCTAGTAGCTTTAGTATGGCCTTGTGATTGCCCAAAAGTGGGATTGCTGGGTCATAGGGGAGCTCTATGTAGAGTCTTTTGAGGAACCTCCATACTGCTTTCCAAAGTGGTTGAACAAGTTTACACACTCCCACCAACAATGTGGTAGAGTTCCTTTTCGACCACATCCCTTCTAGCATCTGTTGTTATTAAATTTCTTGATTATAGCTATTCTAACTGGGTGAGAGGGAATCTCAATGTTGTTTTGATTTGCATTTCTTTTATTGCTAAAAGAATGGCCAGATTTCTGCTCTTAAAACTTCCCTTTCTCATAACTGGGCACAGGTGGCTCATGCCAGGAGGCTGAGATTTGAGGATCACAGTTTGAAGGTAGGCCAGGCAGAAAAGTCCCCATGAGATTCTTATCTCCAATTAACCACTCAAAAACTGGAAGAGAAGCTGTGGTTCAAGTTGTAGAGTGCTAGCCTTGAGTACAAAGAGGCTCGAGGACGGCATGTAAGCCCTGAGTTCAAGCCCTATAAGCAAAAAAAAAAAAAATCCTTTCTCATCCAGCCACTGGGATTTCAAGGATGCTAGCTGAAGGCCAGTCAAGGCAGAAAAGATGACCAGATTCCATCTCCCAAACAATCCATAAAAAGTAGGATTGGAGATATGGCTCAAGTAATAGAGCACAAAGTCAAGCAAACATGAGACCCTGACTTTAAATTCTAGTACCAAAACAAAAGGAGCATAGGGAAGTTCTACGTTTTTAGTCTTTTGAGGAACCTTCATACTGCTTTACAGAGTGGTTGAACAGGTTTACACTCCCACCAACAGTGCAGTAGAGTTTGCTTTTGGCCACATCCCTGCCAGTACCTACTATTGTTTATTTTCTTGATAATGGCCATTCTAACTGAGGAGTGGTGGAATCTTAATTTGGTTTTGATCTTCATTTCTTTCATGACCAAAGATGTTGAACATTTCCTCATGAGTCTATTGGCTATTCTCATTTCCTTTCCAGAGAAATCTCTTTTAAATTCTTTAGCCCACTTATTAATGGGGTAGTTGTTTCTTTGAGGATTTTTTTATTGGGGATTTAATTTTTTAGCTCTAAGTATATTTTGGATATAAGGACCTTGTCTATTATATAGCTAGTAAAGATCTTCTCCAAATCTGTGGGCTTTCTATTGATCTTGCTAGCTATGTCCTTTGCACGCAGAAATTCTGCAGTTTATTGCAGTCCCATTTATTCATCCTTTCTTTGATTTGTTGTGCTTCAGGGTCTTTATTTAGGAAGTTTTGACCTGTGCCAAAAGGAGCCCTAGTGTATCTCTTATACCTTCCTGTAATATTTTCAGGGTGTCCGCTATGACCTCGAGGTCTTTGATCCATTTGGACTTATTCTGGTACAGGGTGATATATTAGGGACTAACTTTAGTTTTCTACAAATGTACAGACAATTCTGCCAGCACCATTTGTTGAAGAGGCTTTCTTCCATCTGATAATTTTGGCTCCTTATCAAAGATTAGATGATCATAGGTCTGAAATCTTGAGGATAGAGGTACAAGGCCAACTAGTGCAAAAAAAAAGTTTGCTAGACTCCATCTCCAAAATAACCAGTAAAATGCAGGGCTGGAGGTGTGGCTCAAATGGAACAGTGACAGCCTAGTAAGCACCAGGCACTGAGTTCAAAGCACTGAGCAAATGCAAGGGTATTTTTGTTTTTGTTATTGTTTTTAACTGTCATTAAGGCTCACTGCATTTTAAATGTATACTTTATTAAAGATTGCAATGTAGGGGCTGGGAAGTTGGCTCAGTGGTAGAGTGCTTGCCTTGCATGCATGAGGCCCTGGGTTCCATTCCTCAGCACCACATCAGCAGAAAAAGCC